TACTGAGTGTGTCGATTTGGGAACCGCTTCGAATATGGTGCCTCCACTGTAGTGAAATTCTAACCAAAGTTTCGAGTATTACTGGGACAAGTTCAGGGCTTCATGGAGGCTAGTCCAAAGAATCAATCCAATGAATTTCCAGGACAAGATCAATAGTTCGCAGGAGTTCTCTGCATCTCTCTTAAGTAAATGTTGGACTAACATACCTTTTCTATCACTACCAGTTGTAAGCACGTGGCCAGCACAATCCTTAACTCTCGGAGCGGGATATGTCTTTATCTGGCAGAGAGTAATTATTTCCTACTTACTACCTGTCCAGTAATAGATATCCGTCTTGCTCTTAATAGTTTTGAATTCGTACCACCTACGATATTGTGCAACTTGTTCGATGTTAATGCTAATGATAAGGTTATATAAGGATAGTTCGCAGGAAAAAGCTCAACGAACCTTGGAGACACAAATCTGAAAGACTATGAGTCAACTATAGGTGCACCTAGACACACATCTTAAGGAATCTTTATGGGAATTACTACGAATTCCCATATCTCAGAAGCTCTTCAGCATCCTATCCGTTTATAAATTCACTAAACTTTGACCTAGGACCCAGCGGACTCTAGGAAAAAATCCAAGGCCAGACCAGACATCTAAAGCATATCTAAAGCTCAAACTCAAAATCGAATAGACCCATTCCCGAGAATTTCCACAATTGAGCACCCTCAAAGACAAGTTTAGAGCAGGACTGCTTTTTTAAATGGCTGTATCGAGCCTAGGATGAACATTTTTCAAGCTGCATTCATTGCTGAGATCCAGATTGGGCAGCGCTGGTCTAGAGTATTTTAAAGATTTCAATGGATCCACATGTGAAGCTCAGACAGCATAAAGATCAAGTCTAGTCACACTATTTCAAAACTACCCAAATTTCAGTAGGATCAACCCATATCGATCAAAAGTGAAGCTACTAAAAAATTGGGATTGACAAGTTAACAAATGAACAACATCGATCGAATGTAGGTGAAGTGAATTTGTGGTAAATTTCGATTTATTTTTGCATGAAGTGTATGAAGCCAACTATTTTGGTAACACATTTATTTCAAAGTGAACTTAAATTTGTCTTTAATTGATACACCACCTATTTCATGATTTCACTAGATCTACTGCCTGTTTTTCCTCATCATGGGGTGGAACTGCTTCTAGAAAGACTCACATTTTTCTGGGAGCTTAGTATTGTCATTAAGATCGCTGATTTCTGTATAAGAGAATAGAGAGCGAAAATTGATCATCGTTCTATTTTTTTCATTCAATGTAAATATTTGATTCTTGGGCTGTCTGGCAATCCCAAATCTTCCAACAATGGGGAATGCCAATACTTTCTTCTGTCACCATCTTGATCTTAAGAGGTTACGCACAGAACATTTTCACACCATGAGATCACGGAAAATTTACGGTAATTTCACATAACCTTCACCAGCATGATACACATGGACTCGACCAGTAAATCCAGTAAGATTTTTTTTTCTTAATTTAACGTCACTTTAACGGTCTTGGGTCATTCGTGACTTGTTTGGGGTCAGATTTGAACTCGTGACTTTGGCGTGAGAGGAATGGATTCTAACCACTACGCCGGGGTCCCCCCTCTATCCAGTAAAATTCATAACCATGTCGTTGAATTTTACGTGTAGCAATGTAACTTTTATTAGATTCTTGTTTTTAAGAAGTGACCTGAATTTCCAGGTAAAATTAACGTTTGTTATTGGTTCAGTGTATATAATCAGAAACATTATGGGCCTTATTGCGGATGTCACTACACGGTGATAAGGAAGTGATACTCATAATAAGAGCCATGATTGACGTACAAATCAAATGGGAATCACTTCACCGTGACGACAAGTGACAAGTTTTCACCGTGAAGTCAAGACCAACAATTGAAAAGGCCTCAACTCCATTTTGTAAACAAACCTTGTAAGGCCATTTTCTCGCCAACCGCAAAGGTCCGCAAAGGCAAACCAACATAATGAACAGGTAGGGGAAATTCTCCTCTACCTGATTGTGGTTTAGGTTCGCGAGAAAATGGCCTTACAAGGTTTGTTTACAAAATGGAGTTAAGGCCATTTCAATTGTTGGTCTTGAAGTGACATCCGTAATAAGCCCCTATAAGCAATAAGAAGACAATATTGAATTTGTGATGGCTATTAGACTGATTCAAAATTGTTATTTTCACTCCACAGTGCTCAAGCGGTTCCAAATCGAGTCTAGATTAGCTTCCCAAAACTTAAACTCAATTGGTAAGAAACTGACTTGGTACAAACCATTTGAAGTTCATATGGGAATTACTATGGGGATACCAAACTTTTTCTTCGTAGTCTTCTATCCTTCTTCCATATTGCATCGTTAAAAATTTCTATAGCTATTCATATGGAAAATATTCTCAGCTACAACTTTGCGGAATTTTTTTTTTCAGCCAAGCATCAAATTAAATAGTTATTAATTGTTTAAGAGATTGAAATCTTGTGGCATGATCAAACAACTGTTTTGTGGGCAACACTGGATCTGCAGTGTGACATAGTAGCCATGATGTTTTAGCTCTATTCTACGCGCCAGAAACACCAGCTGATTGAGCATAATCATAAGACAATAGTGACTTGAATCATTAATAACTTTTGATCCTTACATTTTATCGAAAAATGGTCTTCAGTAAACTTTTAGCTGTGAAAGTTTACTACAAGTACAATTATCAATTTTTAAAGCAGAGCAATAGCGTGAATTATCATATAGATATGAACTCAAAATTTGGTTTTCCTATACTGCTGCTCTTCGCATGTCGGTCCCATAGTCGTTTTCGTGAAAACTGAGTTTTTCAATGCAAATGGTAGCTAATTACCAATATTTTCATAACTCTGGATGGATGAGTTCTTTGTTCTTTGTTCTGAAAAAGTTTGGAAAGACAGTCACATTGATTGTCCCATCACATAAGAAGCAATGGTACGAAGCAAACTTAAAACGCGATTTTCTCGGCTTGCCGATTTTCGCTATGGGACGAACATGCGAAAAGCGGCAGTATAGTAATTTCCATATAAACTTCAAATGGTTTGTGCCAAGTCAGCTTCTTACTAAATGAGTTCAAATTTTGGAAGGCTAATCAGGAACCAAACCGTTTGAACACTGTGGAGCGGAAATTTCAAATTTTGCATAAGTCTAATGGCTATTTTGGAGCTACATTTCATAAGTGATTGTTTGAGTGTCCTTTCAGTCAAGCGAAAAACAAAAAAAAAACATATTTTTTCAGATATTTGGAAAATATGTGACATCAAAGGTTATACCCCAAACTACAAAATGGAACCAATGTTTCCAGTTTGAAAATAATACAGAAGGTTAATTTAATCATTATATTCTACTATCAAAGATACCCCGTTTTACAAATAAATCCAACTCATATTTGAGTCCCGTTCACTAAAATTCGCAAGACCGTAGGTCACTTGGTGAGTGAGTAAATGCCATTTACTCATATATGAGTAACAATTTACTCCTTCTATGAGAGACCTACGTTTTTGCGAATTTGAGTGAACGGGACTCAAATATGAGTCAGATTCATTTGCCGTGCGTGTAGATCTCAGAGATAAGCCCTACGAACTATAAGAACAAAACTCATGAATAAGTCCAGATAGCCACGAAGGCAAGACCGATACTCTTCCCGGCAGATCCAAGTGATCCCGCTTTGATTCAACCAAAATCTAATCGTTCACTGATGACGACCACGACGGAGCAAGTTGCAAACGTTTTGTCCGATATCCGCAGCAAAAAAAAAGTAACTAATTCGAACAAGCGCGAGGTTAGTAAAAGTGTCATGCTTATGCTTCTAAACGGTGGAAATAGTGCTCTCTCGCAGATGGATTATTCCTTGCTTTGCTTTGAAAGGGATGATGCTCTTGAAATGACTAGACACTTTGATAAATCGGTCCATATGACCGAGTTTGTTGGGGGGGATGTTGGTGACGACTATTTTAGTTTGTTTGTTTGAATGAGATTCTCGTGAAAATGAAATCTTGTATAGAGAGGACGGACCAAAGGCAATACGTAGGGGGTTAGTGCATTTTCAAAATCTAATACTGTACAATATACCTATTTATGTATGCAGCGATTTCTTCCTCTAACGAATCAAATCGAGCACTATTCTCCTGCTGCGCACGTGCATTTTGGGGATTGATTGGATGGATTTTGGTTCGTTAATAAGAGAGCAATGGTTTCCCTTTTGAAATGTGGGTGTATGATTATAAAAAAAAAACTTACAAAGGAACGAGACTTATCAAATTAGTATCACCACTAGGCGGGGGAGGAAAAAAGGCTGTAAAATTAAGTATCGCGTTTAGCATCAGATCACGTGCAACTGGGATTTCTGAGAGAAATGGGCTTGGGGAAGAAACTGGTTGTTTAAAATTAAAAAAAAAATGAAGCGGTTACCTACTTCCCAATTATGAGTATTCAACAGCTTGGAAACTGTTTCGCGTTCCGCGTGTTCGCTTGCACACCTCTACAGAGTAATTTTGATTTGTCTTTCTAATAAACCATTCGAGGGTGACGGACTCCTTCCCAAGGAGTCCCCTTAAACTTCAACTGCTTTTCGGTTTTCTTCTCCTTCATAGTTTCTTGTAACTTTCAAGTATCACATTTTATTTTTCGCTCGTTTGCTTGCTGTAATAAAAAAAAAACAGTTAAGATTAAAATCAGATCTTGTCGGTCCGAAAGCTAAAATGAAAACGTGAAACCAACAACTGACACGACTGAAGAAACAAATCCAATGATAGCAGCATGCCGCCGATGAAGCATTCGATTTTCGCGGAAAATCCTAGGTTATTTAAATTACGAGTGTTTCTGTTTCAGTACTTTTGCCGCGTTCAATTTTCGTTCCAGTCGTTTGCCTAATTATTGCTTGTTTGTTTTCTCTTTCTTCTTGTGCTGCTGTTCTACTGATAAAATTTGTTTTCAAACATCTTTCATTCTTGTCCTTTTTGCTATTTGCTTTTTTTTTTGTTAAAAAGAGTATTTCCTTTACCGATTCACTTTCCGTTTCTTTTTTTTTTGCAATGAGTATTCTTTTTCGATCTAAACTACCTTTTCTACTCTTTAGAATTGTTTTCATCAAATTTCGTGTGCTCTTGTTGCTTTGTTGATTAGTGTTCCGAAAACGGTGTGTTTGAGTGTCTGTGTTGTAGAGGTGTTGCTGCCTCGTCTAATCTGGCGAAAGAGTTGGGGATTTCTAAGCCGTGCAAGTCTTCTTAAGTATGGTAGCAGCATAAAGCTTGATGGTTGCCTTCCGTTAGCAATTCTCTCTGTTTTGATGCCGTAATCGAAGTAGTAAGTAGTAGTTGAATCAGTTACAGTAATAGTTAATAATAGTAGTAGCAGTAGTAGTAATAGTGTATTCAATAGATTCGTAACCGTCGTGGCGTCTCCTCCTTCTAGCCCCGCCCATGCTAATGCCACCAAACACGTTCTTCGCCACTCATCCATCCAAGTGAGCGTCGGCTTACGACTTTCTTTTCTTGCGGCGACGCTTTTTGCGTTTAGGCGTCGTCGTCACCGCTTTTACCTTCCGCCGCCGGCCCTAGCTGGTCTTGACGGGCTTTCGACGCAGTCAGTGTTGCGAGTTGTCACTGCCACCGAGCTGAGTGGCAACGAGATTCAACGGCAGGTTGCACGAATCGATGTCGTTTTCAGGGCCACTGTCGTCGCCGACATCGACGTCACCGCCGACGATGACGCCACCAGCCCCACCACCACCGGCACCGTTGGGATCGAAGTTCTGCGTCACTCGCAGGTAGTGCTGGAAGGCCTGTGGGAAAAGAACAGACGAAAATAGTTTGTTTTAGAATGCTTAAAATCAAACACCAGTTATTTGCTACTCACAGGTGACATCGGAAAGTTGGGCGGCGTCGCTCGGGCGGCATCCCTCAACGCAATCAGCAGGTTGTGATTCTGCAGTGCATGCAAATCGGCAGCTCCCTCCACGACGCCGTTGTCGATCACTTCCGCACCTTCCTGCTTGATGGACTCTGGAAATCAAAATCAATTAGTTTGATCAATCCCATTGCCACAAATTTCTCAACTCACTTCTCCGGGTGGCCTTGTCCCCCTTGGGGCGACGTCGCCGCGTGTGGATCGTATCCCGTCGCATCGTGTGCGGCCGGTTGACACCGTGCAGCTTGAAGTACAATCCACAGGCATTGCACACCATCTCTCCGCGGATGTTCCTCCGCCAGATGGTGGTCGTCGTCGTGCCGCAGTTGGTACAGGACATGTCCTTCTGGGTAGAATTTGGGTTCTGGTTCTGACCTTGCTGCTGCTGTTGTGGCTGTGGCTGTTGTTGCTGCTGCTGCTGTTGTTGAGCTTGGGACTGCTGTGCCAATTGCTGAGCAGCCAATTGAGCTGCCGCATTCTTCACGGCTTGCAACTGAGGGCTAACGGTTCCGCTGTTCTGCTCGATGACACCGGGCAGTAGAACGCCCGGAGACGAACCATCGGTTTTCGTTCGGAACAGGATGTTGGCAGGGTTGGCACGGTTCAGTTGACTGGCAGCGTCCAGGTGTACCGGACTGCTGCTGGTTCGATTGTTGGTAACTATCGTCGTTACTCCACTGGCTTTATTCGAGGTGGTTAGCTTCAAGGCTTCCATCGTTGTGTTGGGCGAGTTTCCCTCTACTGGCGTTCGACTGGGGCAGGATTGCTTCCGGCGGCCACTCTGACCACCACCGCCACCACTGTTGCGATTCGCATCGGTTTGCTGGAAAATACACGCAATTTTAATCACATGTGAAAAATTAAAATCTCCCACCGCCTTGACTTACCTTGATAAGTGACACTCCAGGTGTAATCTGAATGGACGGTGAAAACTGAAGGCCTAGCGTTCGAGCATTGATCATCTTTCGGAGAAGCTGCGTTGCTTCATTACCGGCACCGTTTACAATGAGATCTGAAATTAAACACATTAGGACGATCAATAGAAATTCTTCATGTCGGAAAGAGCCGAGCCTTACTCGTATTCTGCGCCAGCGCCTGCCACAGCTGAGTCGTGGCCGGATCCGCACCATCGGCCAGCGCTCCAAACTGCTGACTCAGATGAATCTGCGCCTGCTGCAGGTGTTGCTGTTCTTCCAGCGAATTCAAACTGTCCGGCGTCTCCCGCCCGATATGGTGGTCCACCTGGTTGTGGTGTTGGTGGTGGTGGTGGTGATGATGGTGATGGTTGTTGTTATTATTATTGTTATTTGACCGTTTAATTTCGTCCGTGGTGCACTCGGAGCCGGCATCCTGCGAGGAGATGTCCATCTGAAGCCGTCCCGAATCGCTACTGTCGGCACTGTCGCTGTGCTGGCTCGCTTGATCGTCCACGGCCATGTCGTCCATGTGTTCCCGCTTGATGACGTTCTTCTTGACCAGGGTGGTGGCCGGGAGGGTCGGCGACAGGATGTTCGGCTCGACTTTGACGCGTTTCATGGTCAGATCCATCTCTTCGCTGCTGGGTGATCGCTTAAGGTTGTTCAGGAGAAACTCGTGAGGCTGGAAGAGGGTCGATAAAGGGAAATCAGGATGAGCAATGGGAGTTAGGTCCGTTTGAAAGTTATACACATAATGGCTTTGAAATAATGGCTTCAAGTCTAAACAGTAACATTATCATATCATATTCAAGCGTAACTATTGAAATCGACGTATCTGATTTTGTGAACAATCAATTCAATCGACGATTTGTGGCAACTGCTGGCTCACTCACAGAAACTAACAACATCAGCTAGTAGAGGAAAGATTCCCCTACCTGATGCTGGTGTTTGTTTGCGTTGGATGAGTTAGCAGTTAAGACAAATCGTCAATTGAAGTGATTGTTTACAAAAGCAGATACCTCGATTTGAATGCTTACGCTTGTATTCATGAATTCCAACAGCCTCTGATTATTTCAATGATTTTACTACACGGCGAATGAGAACGACTCAAATTTGAGTTTAGTTCACTCATAATCACCAAAAGTGCAGGAACTCAGCGATGAGTTAATTTGCCTCATGTTTTCCCAGGTTTTTCCAGGATTTTCCAGGGAAAAATTCCCGATTTTGAGAAAAGTAAAGATTGGATTCACTCAGTCTATTGGTACTACTCCGAGACTGAATAAAATTTTCGTCAATTTCCTCATTTTCCGGCAGATTTTTTAGGTTTTCCACAGGAAACCATGAGACAAATTTTACTCATCGCTGAGTTCCTGCACTTTTGGCGATTTTGAGTGAGCTAAACTCAAATTTGAGTCGTTCTAATTCGCCGTGTCCATTAAGGGTTTCGTCCTGTTTTGTTGTTCGCTTCGGTTTCACTCAAATCCACACTCCACGCTTGAGAAAATTAGTCCAGAAGCTCCTCGACCGAGAAGGTGGAAAATAATCCGTCGAATTTTCCGGTGGCACCATTAGAAATCTCCACCGAAATCGTGCAGAGCCTCCTCCACCGAAAATGCGAGAAAACTCCGTCGAAACTCACTGGAACCTCCTTTGGCAGCACCGAAATCTCTCAGAACCCTCTTCGCCGTGAACACATGAAAACTCCTTCGAAACTCCCCTCGAAAATGCTGCCAACGGAGGTTCCCAGAGACTTTCGACTAAGTTTCCACGCATTATCGGTGAAACAGGTTTTGCACGATACCAGTGAAGAGATTGGATGCTGCAGACGAAAGTTCCAGGGAATATCGACGGCGTTTTCTTACGTTATCGATGGACGAGGTTCTGCGTGATTTAAGTGATTTTGGAAGCTGCCAGCGGGAATTTCTGGAAGTTCAAACGGATTTTCCTTGCCTTCTAGGTGGAGGAGGTTCTGCATGATTTCGAAGACTGCCAACGAAGGTTCTAGCAACTATGTCTTGTTGATAAAGGGTTCCACCAGGATTACGCTTGACTACATACATTACATTGGGGCTACATTGAGTCTGTTGATGTTGACAAATAAATAAATTACAATTTCATAAAGTATGGTCATTTGGCGTTTTCTTGCAATCTTGGTGGATGAGTTCCCATTCGATTTCGGTGGAGATTTATGATGCTGTCAGCGGAGGTTTAAGGAAACTTTAACGGAGTTCTCACGCGTTCTCAGTGGAGGAGGTTCTGCACAATTTTGGTGGAGGTTTCTGATTCTGCCAGATTCGTCGGAGTTTTCTAGCATTCACGGTGGTGATTTTCGGTGCTGCCAATGAAAGTTTCAGGAAATCTGTACGGTATTTTCTCGGATTTTTTAGATGGAGGAGCTTCCGCATGATTCCGGTGGAGATTTTCGATGCTGTCAATGGAGGGTCTACCATGTGCTACGGAATTTCGACGGAGTTGTCTCGCGTTCTCGGCGGAGCAGGTTTCACGTAATTTTGATGTTAGCAGTGGAAATTCCGGAGGGAGCTTCTGAACGATTTCGTTGGAGATTTTATTTGCTGCCGGAGAAGGTTGCAGGGAGATTTTCGTGAATTCTCTACTCCGAGTTATCTTTTCCTGTTGTTTATTTATCTTCGCCTCGATACATGTATGTATATATGTATAGGTTTCACCGGAAAAGCGCATACTTTGTTTTGATGTTGATGAATGGTTGATGCAAACGATGGAAATTAAATGCATTTGATTTAAATTAAATGCATTTGATTTAAATTAAATGCATATTCAATGGGCATTCTAAAAGTGAGACTCCCCTAGACAACAAACGTGAAGTTCCAGTTTCTTTGTTATAAGTTTTTTGAGAGCTGATATCTTTCTCTTGAAATTTTTATGTGGTTATGATATTGATCAGAAATAAGGTTTTCCCAGCGATTCAACTTCAAAACGCTAAACGGAGTGCACAATTATGCAACATTTCATAGTTGATCGGGATATCAATTAGCCATGAATCCCTCCAATAAGTTCGCGGTACATCTTTTATCTACCGATTGAACAAATAAAAAAAATACTAAGGCTGTGTTCCATTTGGAAAATTTACGTTTATTTCATGAAATCAGTGATAAAATTATCACTTTATATTTGTCAATTTTTAAAACATTTTTTTATGAAAAATTGAAAAAGTTTTTATTGCAACAGCTTACGAAAGGTATTTCCTATCGATTGGTGTATTTGGATTTCAATTTCACCTATAAATGACAAAGTTATAAGCGTTCAAAATCTTACACCTTTTTGTGGCGGTCGCATTTTTAGATTTTCGATTTACCCCCAGTACCTTCCCGTAAGACGTAGTCTACGTCAAAATGTTTTCTGGCATTATGAAATCATTAGATGTTATCATGATATTTTGTACTTCAGGGGGTTAGAAGCAAAGTTAGAAGGAAAGAGGTGTAAGTGACTTTGATCGATTCTCTTCGTCGACTTTCTATTTCGTTAATAATTCAGCTGCAAACACATTCCTTGATGTGTGTGCCATTCTGGATGCTAGATGAGAACTTCCTTTATCAAACTATGTGGCAGAAATAGTGCAAAATCTGTTTATAAAGCTGTGGCTATCAAAAGAGAAAGTCGATTTTATGAGCTAATATATGAAAACCATTGCGATAACGATTTCCTCGCAAATCTAAAAAGGTTTGAAGCTTATCTGAACATAAGCTCGATCAATTTTTAAAGCACTACAAAGTCATTTAGCTGCACGAGTACGGATTTCCGGATAAACTGACGCGATTGGTCAAGGCGACGATGGATCGAGTGATGTGCGTTGTATCGGGGACACTCTCGAGTCCCTTTGAATCTCGAAGGGGGCTACAGCAAGGTGATGGACTTTCGTGTATGCTATTCAACATCGCATTAGAAGGTGTTACCTGAAGAGCTGGGATAGACACGAGTGGCACGATCTTCAGGAAGTCCATCCAGCTTCTTGGCTTCGCCGATGACATTGACATTATGGCACGGAACTTTGAGACGATGGCGGAAACGTACATCAGACTGAAGGCTGGAGCTAGGCGGATTTGGACTTGCCATCAACGCATCAAAGACAAAATACATGAAAGGAAGAGGTTCTAGGGAAGACAATGTTAGCCTCCCACCCCGAGTTCAGATTGACGGTGACGAAATCGAGGTGGTCGATGAGTTCGTGTATTTGGGTTCACTGGTGACCGCCGAAAATGATACCAGCAGAGAAATTCAAAGACGCATTATGACAGGGAATCGTGCCTACTTTGGACTCCGAAGGACGCTCCGGTCGAATAAAATTCGCCGCCTCACGAAGTTGACTGCCTACAAGACGCTGATTAGACCGATGGTCCTCTACGGTCACGAGACCTGAACTATGCTCTTGGAGGACCAACGCGCCCTTGGTGTTTTCGAACGGAAGGTGTTGCTTACCATCTACGGTGGAGTGCACATGGATGACGGAACGTGGAGGAGGCGAATGAACCACGAATTGCACCAGCTGCTGGGAGAACCATCCATCGTCCACATTGCAAAAATTGGGCGACTACGGTGGGCTGGGCACGTCGTAAGAATGCCGCACGACGACCCAGTGAAAATGGTTCTAGAAAGCAGGAACAGGAACAAGAAGAAGAGGCGGGTAGCGGGCAAGGTGGATCGACCAAGTAGAAGGTGACCAGCGGACCCTTCGCAAACTACGAGGCTGGCAAACTGTGGCCATGGATCGAGTAGAGTGGAGACGACTTCTTCGGACAGCAGAGGACAACAAGGCCTTAGCCTGATTGGTAAGTAAGTAAGGAGCCGTTTAGCTAAAAGTTTCAAATGTCCAAAACCTACCTTTATCACAGAAGACTTAATACTTTGTAGTTGCGGTTGATTGTTGTTATTGTTGATGGTTTGATACTGCTGCGATTGCTGTTGCTGATGCTGTTGTTGTTGCTGCTGCTGCTGCTGCTGCTGTTTCTGCTGCTGCTCGGCACTCAAACTGGGCGACTGTGGGTTCGAACTTGGTGGCGAGATTATCACTTTTTTACTAATGTCCATTAATACCGCTGCGGTTTCGAGATGTTCCTGCTGGAGCTGAGTCAAATTCTTCACCTGTATCAGTTGCTGGTGGTGGTGCTGTTGCTGCTGCTGTTGTTGTTTTGGTTGTTGCTGCTGCTGAATTTGCGCTGTCGGATGATGCAGGTGTATCGTTTGATGATGAATTATCGACGGATGCTGTTGCTGTTGCAGTTGCTGATTGGAGGACGACGTAATTTTCATACTCTCAATCGGGATCACAGATACGGAATTCGCTTCCAGGTTTTGTAGATGCGTTTTACTAAGTACTGAGGTAACTGATTTTGCTGTATGATTGTTGTTGTTGCGTAACGCTTGGAGGGCGGCTATCGCATCCTGTTCGGCGGACGCTTTCGCAGCTAACGAGGCAGGTGAGGAGGCGATCAGGTGTTCCAGCTTCTCGGACGACTGCGAGAGGATTTCCTACGGGGGATGGAAAAGAGAGGGAGAGAAAGAATAAGAAATTAGTTTACATCGAGTTCGGGACGGACAAGTTTGTAAAAGTTCACGGAGTGATAATTCTTCAATCGTGTTATATCCTCCACATTATACCTAATGACTAAGCTAATTTACTTGCCGAGACGTGAACGTCCGACTCATCCGTATCATTGAATTTAGAAGTACGACTTCTCGTTTCATCAATCTCATCAGAAGTTCATTTCTGTTCCATTTTTTTTTTCGTTCATCATCTTGCACAGTCAACTTCGTTTCCAGGAATGGTTTTTATCATTCAACTTTTCCCATTTGGATGGATGGGCCCCACCGAGCAAGACTATTCCTCATCCCCCACCGATTCACGAGTCGAGCGAGGAAATTAAATAAACATCATTTTGGGAACAACAACACGAGCAGGCCAAGAAGAGACCCCCGAAATCGGATTCTGAATTGCTCTCCGCAACACATTCTTAAATCCATTCAACCATCATCATCATCGTCGTCGTCGTATCCCCGAAAAAGGATGAGGCAGAAGGCAGACAAGAGCAATGAAATAATCGAGTGCCATTCGTCTTTCAACCCCCACCAACCAACGCATCCCGAGCAAAGATGGTATCAGTTGACCTGAGTCAGGGGCGCAAAATAGAGCACTGAGGGGACGATGACTGAAATAAAGGATCTTTTTTATGATCGGCATAAGCTTTAACCAGCCAAATCTGTTATTGATTTTGCAATCATTTTGGCATCACATTATGCTCGGGATCGGTTGTATAGGCTGGGAAGGCAGCAGTGTGCTGAAACACTACCCAGCTGACAAACCGACTACGGGTTAATCAGTAATCGTTGAGGCGGATAATTTAATACCGACCCCCCCACTATCCCCTTCGCCATCCCTGTCTGAATCTCCGAAATATTTCGTTTCCATGTCAAACCAAAGTTAATCTGCATACAAAGACATCCTGTTGTTGTTCTCCGGATTCCGAACCGGAACAGATTGAATTCGTTGATCGATTTGGAACGTTCCTCTCAGTCCCACACGATACGATAAATGGTAATTGGGTTAAGTAAGAATGTTGGAACTTTTATGAATTTGTGTCTTGAAGATTCTGATTTGTAAAATGGGGACCATCAGTGTTGGCTCTTCAGGCTCAAAAGACTGCTACAATGTAATCAACCATAAGGCATAAGAACATAGTCCCCCTCCCCTCCCCGGCCGGCAGCATGCTTTTGATTTAATGCTTTCCGGTTAAAACGTTAAAACAGATAGAGGCATAGGTCCGAAGCCCGAACCGTTGATAATTCATCACGAACATTAAAACCTCCCAAAGAGGAAGAATAACCGAACGAGTGGGAACGCCAAAACCGGAGCATCTCCCACACTACCATAATATATCTCCACCGCAAAGGTGAAACGAGAAAAAAAAAATCAAATCTCCAGTTTTTTATGAGATTTGCTGTTATTCCCTTTCGTTTTTTTTTTAAAGTTGACTTCAATTTTAAGTTTATTCATCTGCTTCATCAGAATATGTAGGAACGTGTTGGTCGGTCGCCGCCTCCAACAAACAACGCTCCAAACACGTCATGCCGTCGTCGTTTGAGAGCAACCATCGATGATAATGATGATAATACGCAGAAGGATCTCTCATCCCGACCGACTGACCGAGGCACACTGGTCGAAAGTTGGCCAAAACCTAAAAAATCGACCATATAAGTATGAGGTTTGAATACACTCTTCACAAATTTTGATGCATTTTGGACCAATATTACACACTCTTGGTGATTTTTCAAAGTTGAGTAAATGGATTAAAATTAACCACTAAGCATTAGAATTTGCAGTACACTGAGGCAAAAGAACGTAAGAATTCCATAAGAACCAGTTATGAATTTTAGCCTCAAGAAATCGGTACATCGCATCTTCCGCATTCCAATAAAAGTTTAAAGTGTTAGCTTCTTAATCATTATGTAGTGGTAATCATATTTTAACATATTTTGCTATTAATAATGGTTGGAGGCGAACCAGCCCAAGGCTGAAAGCCTCCCTAATAAAGATAAATTAATTAATTAATTATTAATAATGGAAAACTGGTTACAACTGGATGAATTCTAAAAAAACTGGAAGATTTCAAACTTTAACTGTTTGACTGGATGTGTCCAAAAAAACAGGAATAATCCAGTTTAAACTAGATCGTTGGCATCACTGTTCTGTACAACATAATACAATAAATCATATCATATCATATCATAAAACCGTTATATATATTTTTTTAAATATCATAAACAATTCGCGCCATTAAAATGAGTTCTGCAATTTTTATGAGAGCACATCAGTCTCTTCGCAATTTTCGCAACATCATTTAATGGTTCCGCGAACATCGCGACTGAAAGTTTAAATCGGTGAAAATCGCGAAATCCGTGCCAACCCTGCAATAATGCAAAGTTTCATGCAAATCGTAAATAGTCACTTCAGATCGATTTATCATTTGGCGTGGAACTGCTCTATTATTGATTTTCAACGTTTCAGAAACATATTTATAAAATGGTGTGCAACAATCAGACCAATTCCAGAAAATTCTTGACAACCTGTTTGTTTTGATAGTAACACTGCTCAATCGCTGTCGGTTTTTGATTGTTTTAGTCCATTCAAAGACACTTCACTGAAGTTATTCGTGTACCTCTGTAAACTCAAGTTTTGTGAATTTACGTGGAAAGTGGAAATCAGTTGATTCGTGTTGACTTTATTTAGTTTTACCGTATATTTGGTGTTGTGAAATCATATAATTAATTTGAGTAGTAGCTATACTGAAGATCCGAGAGATGTCGCCCCTTCAGTGGTAGGAAAATCATTTTTACAGTATGGAGAATATCAGAAAATCCACGATTGGTGACTAAACATGCTTTCACAGAAGGAAACAAATAAACGTGTGTTTACCTTATCACCATAGTAATGCACTCGTTCAATTTTTGTGCATCTAAAACTGCCCATAAAGATGATAATGAATAAAAACTGAAAATTTTCATGCATTTTCAAATGGTTTCCTACCATTCCCATACATTCGAAAGTGAATGGCCCTCTGGATGTGGATGATGTCAAAAACAATAAAACATGATTAATTGTCAGTCATCCATAGAATTTTCTGTTTGTTGTGCTAGTGGTGTTGCAAAAACCACCTTTCGATCGTTCGTCCAACATTCGACGCGCCACCTACATCTGGATTTAGTAATCTGCTTATAGGGCATTTCACGCGTATAGGGCATTAATTCTGTTTAACGAAATGACCAGTACAAGCAACAATCAATACGAAACTAACGATTTTAAATTGGCTCACTACTTGACTAGCCTATTGGTCCCAAGCAAACGATTAACGTCCCCCATTCTAGTCGAAATTCTAGTACTTCACTATGTTTGTTTTGATTTGATGAAAGTTTGACAGATAAAATGAGGGGTTAGTGGATTTTCCTATATTTCGAGGGGTGAATCGATTAGCTTGGGACCGAAGAGAGTACCATAGCTGAGCCAAAAAGTTGAGCACGATTCTTCGGGACCTTCTAGTCTAAGTCTAGTCTATGGTACAAGTGCGTGCGACCGCTGTGCCAAAACAGTAAAACCGGACGAAGACCACATCGAATGTATGGGGCTCCGCGACCAAGTGTATCATGTGAGATGCTGTTCATCACGATTCTTCGTGAGAAAATCAATTTGTTCTGGATGTGTGACGAATGTAGCAAGTTGATGAAGTACGCCCGATTCAGAAACAGTGTTTCATCCATCGGCAACGTAATTTCGATGGTGATAGGCAGCCAGCTGACCGGCTTGTCCGAGCTGAAAACCGAAATGGCCATAAACAACAATCAGGTCGCTCAACTCACTCACATAGTTAATGCTGCTACCACAGGTACATCTGCTAGACCGAATCATGATCGCCCCTCAAAACGCCATCGAGGTGATACGGAAACACCGACTAAACCGACTACTGGAACAAGAGTTATTGGACCTAGCGATACGCTCGCTTTCAATGCTCCATCAAACCTGTTTTGGGTTTACCTTTCCCGGTTTCAACCCAGTGTAAAGAGGGATGTGGTTGAGAAACTTGTTCGTGATGGACTGCGAACGACTGAACCAGCTAAAGTCGTCTCTTTAGTGAAAAAAGGCGCCAACCCACTTTCGATGAACTTCATCTCCTACAAGGTCGGCGTTCCAATGGAACTAAAGAGAACGCTTTGAACCCTGAAACTTGGCCACATGGCCATTGTGTACAGAGAATTCGAGGATACTCAGGCGAAAAACAATGTATGGCTACCTCCTGATATCCCAGCACTCCCTGCTGTTCCAGAGACTATTCGGGGTGGCTCTCCAACGGGCACACCGTTTGGGACACCAGCACCTCTCGATATGCCAGCCCCTTTAGGTACACCCAGTATAACAGTCACCCCTCAATCCCCTGATCTGACGAATCAACAATGCCGCCGAGACGCACCGTAGAAAGCCTGATGGAAGCCCCCGATCGCCCCAACACAGTCCCGCCTACCACCGCCTTCGTTCAACATAGTCGTCTCGGCCCTGTAGTTGGTGGTGGAAAAGGGGTTTTCCACCATGCTTGCATAGACAAGTACCTCTGTGATTTGAGTTTATCATTGCGTGATAAGTTCTCCCATACTCAGGTTATTCTGATCCCGGTCCAAAGCGAATTTTCGGTGACGCCCTCTGAAAATCTCTTGAGCCAAATTACTTCTCTACCAGGACGCACCGTAGAAAGCATTTTGGGAGTCCCCAGTTCCTCTAAATCAGTCGCGCCTATTGCAGCCAGCGTTCATCCAAGTCGTCCTGGCCCTGAGTTTAGATGTGGATTGAGGGTCTCCCAGCTTGCTATATTAGGCGAACTTTCACTGCCTGATGATGATCATAATTTCAGTGCCTTCAACTCACCTCAAACATCTGCCAGTCGGCAACATGGAGCCATCACAGTCAACTGTCAACACGCCGGGACGCA